GGCGAGGGCGGCCGCCACACAGGGCTCCTGCTCTGCCCCTCTTCCTCCCCACAAAGCCACCGAGGACTCGTGAACCTCACGCGGGTGCAATTTGTTCCTTCTGCACTTCGGTACAAGGGGAAAACGGGAAAAGCTGCCGTTTTCCCCGGCCTGGGGATCACCCTCGGCCAGCGAGGGGCTACGTGCGAATGCTGCCGGTTGCCTGTAATTGAAAGCGGCTGCAGGAGCCCGCAGCCAGGAGCGAGCCGGGGCTGCACGGCACGGGCGCTCGCAGCTTAACGCTGCAGTTGGGCTAAGGTTATTGCCGAAGCTGCTGCTGCCTTGTCGCATTTATCTCTCCCCTCCGCAGCTGCTGCACCCCGCGGTGCTGGGACCGGCGCCGGGCCCCAAGGGGATGGCCAGGACCTCCAAGCCATGATGAAGGTGGTGGCGGTGCCAGCCTGAGCCCCTGCCACACGCACAGGGGATTGGGGGAAGGCGCCAGGGCCGGGGGCTCTGCAGCCCCCTGCAAAATGCTTCGCTCTGGCAGAAGGCCTCGGCCGTGGTTGACAGGGAAGCAACTACCTCCCTGGGATGGCAGGGAGAAAGAAGGATGGAAAAAATATTTTTCTAATCTGGTATTTAATTATGAAAGGTACGGATTTTTTCAAAGGCTCCCTTCAGGCTTAAGGTAAAATAGGAATGTGGAAATACCCCCTATTAATATCTTGAGCAGCCGGGGATGTGGCGTTAGCACCACAGTGATTAATTGCACAGAATGCGCAGAAATGCCCTTAACTGTGGCCAGAGGAAATCAGGGGATGCAGAAAGACACCAGCACAGACTGGCCCCGCTGTTCTCCAGCCATGACCTGCCTGCCAAGCAGGGCCGAGGCTCCGCATCGCATCCCATCCCATCCCATCCCACCCCATCCCCTGGGTGGCTGGCCCAGGGCTGGTGGGAGCAGGCACGCGAGGAGGCTGCAGCGCTGGTGCTGGCGGGCAGAGCGGTGCAGAGGGAGCAGGCGCGAGCGCCGCGATGCAGCAGAGCACGGAGCCGCAGGGAGCAAAGAGGCTGCCCGAGGAAGCCAGGCACCAGGGCAGAGCTCCTTTCCAGAACCCGGGCCATTTACCTTGCGTCTCCAAGCTTCTCCTAGCTCTCCTCGTAAACCAGAGGCTGGGATGGCCCATCAGGGCCCGTCCCCTAGGTCGGGGTGCTCTGTGGCTCTGGGCGCGTGCGGGGACCCACGTGAAGCAGCACGACTCGTCCTCCCAAGGCAGGCAGCCCTTCTGATGCGAGGAGCCTTCATCACCACGTGCACGAGCGTCATGAAATATTGAAAATCACTGGGACCCTGTAAGGGAAGCGGCGCAGAGCATGTTGCATAAATACAGCCTTAAGGAGCAGAGAAAAAAAAATGCTAGCTAAAAATAAAATGAATCTCTGGCAAGGCTGTAAGATTATTTTTCACCCCTCCCCTCTGCACTGCAATCTTTTATATTATTTTCTTTAATTAGAGCTGGTTTGGATCGCTGCAGTTTGGAGAAGCATAGCTGGAGCTTGCAATAAACTGGGCTTCTGGATGATACAGGAGAAACTAATAAACCCCGAGGACTGAACATCTGTCCACAAAGAGCACACGTAACGTTGTAATTAATATTAATGACTAATAGTTAATAAAGAACTAAACTTTTGCTTCTCAGGTCATCTAACAAGCCCGGCTCTGCTGCAAGTTTCAGAGAGCATTATTTTGCTCAATTTAGCTGTATCCATTTTCCCCCATCCCCTATTCCTTCAGCTTTATACTTTTCATGTTTTCTGATAATAAAGAACCTGAAAGAAGAGAGACAGATGCTGATAATGTCACCAGCTCAGTTCCAGAAACAAACACATGCTAAAGACACATTTCATGGGTCCAAAAATATGCCCCATTCATCACTCCCAGAGAAAGGATGCACCAGCTAATGAGAGGGCTGAAAGCCAGGGAGGCTAAATAATTGTGACATGGCTGTTTTAGAAGATACTGTCCCCAATCGCACTTGCCTGGATGCCCTGGGGCTCTTCTTGTCCTTTAACCCTCATCTTGGGGCTGGGACAACTGATTAAAGATCCAGGACAGATGAGGTTCAGAAGCGCATGTGATAAACACACACAAAACATACAGCACCCTCCTTTTCATGTGTCCACTCTGACATAATTTTTCACATGCTGGAAATACAGATGATTTTAGCCTGGGTCCATCTGGTTTCCCAAATAACCTGTCTGTTTGATAAATAACATAAATTAAATTAGACAAGACAAACAAATAGTTTTTTTTCTCTCCCCCTTTCAGTCTCTTGGCAAAATGGGAAAAAAAAAAAAAAAGAAAAAGAAAACATAATTCAGTGGCTGCCTTGAACCCCTGAGGAGCTGTGTGCTCGAGAAAGCTATGATTATAAACGTGTCTGCAATGTTAACCTTTAACATCGACCAAAGACCATCCCTTCTTTTTGCTTAGGAGTTCTTTTTAGATTTCTCCCCTACAATTTATGTTCCTAAGAGCTGATTCTGGCAGCGAGGGAATAGTCTGTACTTAAGAGCATGCCGCTCATTAAGGCTCCCGTGGTGCAGACTCCAAGCAGACCCGGAAAGCATCAGTCCCTGTCCCTTCTGAAGTGGGGAAACTGAGGCACGGGGACATGCACTATTTATACTGTGTTAAAGCTGCAGAACTGGGATTAAAACCCGGGCTTTACGTCCTGGGCCTCGCTTCTCATGCAAAGCTAGAAGCGAACACAAAAAGGGCTCTCCGAGCTCTAACTACCAGGCGTCTGATTAGCAGGGAAAGGCACCAAGGGTGGAAGGAGCTCTCGGATTTCTGGCAAAGGCTGAAATGCCCCATTGCCCCCTGCCCTGGGGCTGCCAGCCGCGCTCTCATTCCCACCCCTTCGCCCCTCTCTCTGCAACTATCAGTCATTCTTTCCCTGCTCAGCCGGATTGGCCAGCCCGAGACAACTCCTGGCACTTGCTGCAGCGCGAGGGGGAGAGATTTTTCTCCCTTTTAGCAAAACTGCTTCATCTCAGTGCCGGGAGGGGCGAACGGGATCGATACTCGAGAATGGGAAGTGGAAGCGGAGTTAATGTGCCAGACGGGAGCGGTGCGGAGCCGGCGCGCGGAGGCGGACGGGAGCAGCTTACCGAGAGCCAGGGGAGCATCGAGAAGGACGAGCACCAAAACTGCAGCTCTTTGGGCCCCGGTGGCACCGCGACGGCCGGCACGAGCAGCAGCAGCATCTCCGAGGATGGTAGAAGCCCTCCTGAAAACGAGATTTTAGGTGCTGTAAGAGACCCGAAGTGCTGCATGGAACACACTTCACGGGAGCAGGGTGTAACATGCAATGGGGTGGCTGAGCAGCAGGATTTTGCGTGCTCTGAGCTCCAGGAAGCCTTTTGGTTTTGTTGTAAGCGGAGGTGGGTGGTTAAGTGGAGCAATAACATCCTGAAATCTTCCCATTCCCTTCACTTCAAATTCCAAGCTCTTCAGGCCTGAGACTATTTTTCTGCTTAGGGCAATTAGCTCTGGAACAAGCAAACCATCTTTTTCCTGGGTAAAAGCTCCATTCTGAGGGAAGGCAGAACAAATGCCACCTTCCTATGAGGCTACCACAGCCTGTGCTTGGGCCAATAAGAGCCCCATGGCCTTACTCCATATGGACTATATACAGGTATTCTCTACTGGACACCTCCTAAAGCCATTGCCTTTGCATGCAAAAAATATGTCTAATTAGGCTGATCTGCATCTAATCCTTCCCAGTTCTGCAGAGCATAGAAAACTATAACCGTCTCCGTCTGCATCAGAGGGAATTTCAAGCTTTAATTGCACTTCCTTGTCTTTTTCCTATGGGAAGTACATTCTAATGCTGCTCTCTAGTGGTAGGAGTGCCCAGCAAAATAGACATGCTGAATTTTGCAGCTTTTGATTTTCTTGTAAATCTGTACTGAATTCGTGTAATTTACAAATCAGTATAAACATGTGTTTAGATACAAAATTAACCGGATATTCAGTAATTTACTGAAGTTGCCCTTTAAGAGATGGCTGATAAAAGACCTTTCCTCCTGCATTCACTAAACAAAACCTCCAAACAAGGAAACAATTTTACAAATGCCCCAAAGCAGATATGCTCATTATTAGAATTACTAGAAGGAATTAAGAATAGGTTTGCATTGCCAAATCACTGTATTTTGCGAATACTTACAGGGTGGAGTGCAATGCCACAGCTGCGAGGTACTGAGTGCACTTGTGCGCAGCAGGTTCTCAGCAAGCTGTCTCCACAGAGGCACTTGTACATTTAAGGCAGCCAGCGAGACTTAATTATACATTACCTGCACATTACCTCTGCTTATGCAGAGGATGAGGGTGGCCACGCTAGTCTGCATGCATAGCCAGGAGCAGCATGGCCAAGTTGACTCTATATGCAAAGGAAAATAAGGATTTTCAGCTATTCGAAAAACAATATGCCAAAGGAGCGAGATGCCACATCTAGGCTACCAGTTCAGATGCAATAAAGAGCAGCAAGCAGAGCACAAGTCAATGCTAAAGGCTGTTTTGTCTAGGAACTAGCAAACCCAAAACCTACAGAAGCAGTAAACTGAAATATATTCTTAGGGCCAATAATTTTATGCAAATGTAACCAAAGTGGAAGACTTGAGAACTTGAGAATTTACACTCCAATAAACATGGGGAGGTAGTTTGTGTTGTGTTTTATTCCCATATTATTGCAGCAGCTGTTCCTACCAAAGGGTTCTGTTGTTATTACCAAAAAAGAAAAAAGCCACAGGAAAAAAAAAAAAAAAAAACAGGAAGATGAACATTTTGAAGACCCATATGTACACAACTTGAATGAAATCCTGTAAATTAATTCCAACTGCCCCAAAATTAAAAACAGGTTTTATTGTAAAATTGCACTCCAGTTAGTACCATATTTCTTTATAAACATAATATACAATAAAATATTTTACATGTAGCACACCAGACGTGCTTATGATGTTACAAAATTTACACTTCAAGATTCTTCCCTGACAGTGTCAGCAACATAAGTATTTGAAATAAAGTCTTAGGAGATATTTAGTCCTACAGAACAGGCCACTGTATTACCATAATGAAGTCTCTACTTTTATACATTGTTTATGATCAGAGATGCTGTGTATTCTAATTACATCCTAAGTTTCTTTCACACAATCTAGCATAGTTGTGAATAATGGTTCCTTATTATCTCATTTCCTCATTCTAGGGAAGGCCTTTCATTTCTAGCTGTGCAGAAACGGATGATTTGTCATGGAGAACCACAGCTTAAAAGAAAACAAGGGGATAGATAATTTAAGGGTCTTCAGTTGTTCAAAATACCTCCAAAACCAAAATAAACAAAAAAACCCTGCACGTCTCCTTTTCCTCTCCTACATCTGCTGTTCACATTCTTCCCTCTCCCCACACGTTCATACATGTGCCTAGATAAAAAGTAATAAAAACTTGGAAAGAAGCCTATCATTGTGCCTCATAAAAGACTTTTTTTTTTCTTAAACTATGTATTTCAAATGTACACTGGAACGTCCCAAGACACCAAACTAGTAAATGCTTAATTATTTAAAAGAAACAGGACATTGAAGGGAATACACATGTGTCCTGCTGTATTTAGCATGGCTTCTTTCTTATTCAGAACTGCAGGTCTATCTCCTTCATCTGTGCTTTAAACTTACTGCAGCATCTCTGCATCATACCTATCCCAGGAATGGCATTTTCTGTAACACAAGGATATTCTTGTGGCATTCGAGGTTGTGAGGATGGTATACAGTAGTGTAAATTTCCTTAATGCTTGGGCTCAGACCAAGTTAGCATTTCATTCCAATCCAAGCATGGATCTTGTGGTCCCCTGCTCGCCATGGAACATTGAGAAAGACTAAAGGGAGTTATCACGACCATTGCCTGGAAATTACTTCAACTTGCTAAGTGGAAACAGAAGAATGTGTAGCAATAGCTTTACCCCCCTGGACGATCGGTGGTAGAGATCTGCAAACCAAACTGCAGCTGGCAAAGAGACAAGATAAAACTTCTGGCCCTAAACAAAACCATTCAGCTCTCCAAATACTGGAATATGCTCCGACTTTTACTCATTTGTGCTGTGCTGTCAGACCTGGACCGCTTGGCCAGGGATGTTATTACTGTAGTAGAACCTCTTTTCTTCACCTATAAAGAAAAAGGATGCATTAGTAAATACAAAATCTCCGAACAGTTTAAAGTCCGAGTTATGAATGTACATATTCGATGTGAGAACACATACTTGTACAACTGAACATAACTGAAAATATTTAAAATACCAACGCTAACTGTTTGGCATTGTCGAACATCAATAGACTTAAATAATTTAGTAAGAACTGCATAATCAGCCATCAGTGTAGAATATAGCAGAACAATACACAACTGACAACATATTCCCACATAAACCTTTACCTGAAGTTTTGATTTCTCCTTTGCCTCTTCACTCTTGTCTGGAGAAAGTGTGTGAAAGACAAAATTCCTTGAATTTCGAGGAGCATTTGGATTAAGTTCGGACATCGCTGCTAGTTTCTGAAGCATAGCTTTAGGTCTATTCAAGAGAGACCCATTTTTCAGCTGAAGAACAAAGAAATACTGCGTTAGGCCACACAACCAACCGTGACAACTCTTTTAGCAGGATATTCTATAGAAAAGACTACCTCCTACCCACATTTTACTGGGTATTTTATCACTACTATAACAAAGCACTGATGTCCAGAACCTAGAATGAGCTTAGACACATTCTATAGGTGCACTATAGGTGTATTCTTCAAAACTGCTACCAACCTGGACATCACTGGCAGGTCTGAATGCTTCAAATGGGCTCCTGGGCAACAATTTGGTTTCTTGCACTACTACTAGAGGGCTTGGGCTTGCTAGCAGAGATAAAGAGGAGAATGTCAGTTTTTGAACTTCATGAGAAAGAACATAATTTTCTAATCAAAGTAATTTTTCTATCAAACCAAAGATTTCAGAATTGACAACTGACAACAAACACTACACACAAAAACAACCCACATCAAATTATGCTACTGATAGATGCTGGAGAGTAGGTAGCAACAACTGAAAGTTAAGCTCTCTCTCACTTGGTTTCTACTTCAATAAGAAAATCAACTCACCTTTCTTCTGTAGGGACTTGGCAGTTACTTTTTTTGCTAGTTTCATAAATTGGCTATCTTCACCAACTTCCTCCTCCTCCTCTTTATTTTTTTCCTTCTGTAGCAGAGAAGGTACTTTGTTAAACTGAAAAAGCTTACACTACCAATGAACTTTTCATTCAGCAACTCAAATACACCAAGCCCTTTCATAACATTAATTTTTATATATATATATATATATTTATATATATATACTCATTTTTATTTTCTACTGAAAAAGTTGGTTATAATTTACTAGATACTTCATCATCCCCATTCTGTCTATCAATGAACAACAACATCACATCCATCTGATAAAGCTGGATGTTGAACCTAATGTTGAACTTCTAAAACATGGAGTTACGTTGTCAGGACAAGAAACCCATCCCAGCTTTCATAGTAACTTTAAAAGTATTAAACATATCTTTGCTCATGTTTTCAACACAAATTTATGAACTTTTTTTTTTCCAGATCTTAATTTGACACGCTAGCAATAGCACATCTGATAATGGTATTGAGAGGGGTGAAACAAAACACCTTACTGGAAACGAACCAATACCTGCTCACGAAGCCACTGTTCTCGCTCAAATCGCTCTTTCCTCCACTTTGCCTCTGTCTCATCAAGCTCTTCATTTTCATCATCATTATCTGAATCTCTCTGAAACAAGTCGATCTGTGAAGCATCATCTAGACAAGAAGAGAAAATAATTAATTATGTTTTCCAAAATAGTTTAGAAAAGATATCTCAGAAGGGGACTACATACAGAATGCTTTCTTTCATTTAGATGAATGACAGAGAACCAAAACATTTAGCAAAATAAGAGACAAAAGACTCAGTGGAAATGCACCAACAGAAAGCACTGGGGAGCACCATAAGATTAGAACCATTTGTCCAGATATAAACACACAGAAGTACCCTTCTTATGGAAAAACACAGGAACACTTATTTCCAAAGGAAACATTCAGTCCCTACTATGTGGGTTTCCACCTTGTATACCATGACACTTTCCAAACTTTCACCCCCGTTCACTGCCTACAGAGCAGAAAGGCACCTATGTTCTTCCATCTGAATCGTCTCATTCTGCCAGGGCCATCGCTGTGCAGGTCCCCATCAAGGAGATACCTCTCTTGGTACAAGCGCAGCTGACGCTTGTCATCATCAAGCATAGCCTTCCTATTAAAACAAAGGAAAATTTGCTGGGTCAGTCCAAGTTATATCTGAGAGTCCCTTCTCACACATAAACATAATACTGTCACTAACATGTGTAATTTCTGGACTTGATTTTCTAATTCCGCATCAGTAGGGAGTTCCTCATCAATAATGTCTTCTTCATATTCGTTCAGGTCTTCGCCATCATATTCATCCTCACTTCCCACATCACTCCCTGACAGCTCTGCCTCATCTTCCATGAAATCCTGTAGTTTTCTATAAAAGAATGTTAAAGGAGTTTACTTTGGCAGACTTGTAATCATCGCACAAATCTTCTGAAAGCAACACCACTGAAGCATAAAACCAAAAACTAAAGCAAAAGACAGTCACATAAGCAGCACCTGTGCTTGAGCCGCTAAGGCTGTGGCAGGGAGAATTACAGATTAAAAATGTCGTGCTATTATTCTTTTCAAGATAAAAGACGTACAGCTTTTTCTTCAAGCCCTGTCTACGTCTCAACAGTTGTTCTTCTTCATCACTCATTTCGGCTTCTTCAGCATCTTCCTCGCTCCTTTCTGCTTCTTCAGCATCTTCATCACTCATTTCTGCTTCTTCAGCATCTTCATCACTCATTTCTGCTTCTTCAGCATCACCATCCTCATTTCTGCCATCCTGTCAAAAAAAAAGAAAAAAATGTTTCCGTTTTCAGAACATTCAGAAACACAGGAATTCCTGCCAGTAGATTGCTGTGAAACGTCAGCCTCCTTTGTCCTTCAATCAATAAACATGGTCTAAAACACCACAGGCTTTGCAAAGGACTTGCTAAGCAAAGATGTTTCATCCAGGATGCTGGAATATCAAGTAGACATTTTAAGTGATCTATGCATTTAACATAGCTTGAATGCTGCAGCAACCACTGTGTTCCATCAGCTCATACCTCTTCACTATCAAAGGCATTGTCATCCGTTACAAGCTGGAATTCACCCAGTTCCTCTTGCTCTCCCTCTTCTTCTTCCCTATGGAAAGAAATAACAAAAGAAATATCTGCTTTCATTTGAGGAATGACAATAGTTTTGCAAGAATTCAGAGCAAGACCATGACTGTCATGTCAATTAGTCTCTGGTAGCTATCTAAGAGATGGTCTGAAGACCTACGGTCTCCCAACAGCAGCACTTTTATAGCTTTAATGCTCAGGGGGATTTTAATAATCTATGTTTCAAGTCCTGTCCTGCAGAAACCATGAAGCAAATACAAATTTCTGCATTCACTGCTCTCCAATAAATGCAGAAGGATTCCTCCTAGATACCTTTAATATTCCCCATTTGTTAAACCTCTCCATCCCTTTGTCAAACACCCCTGTGCCTTTGCAGTTTAACCGGCGGAGACTAACCTGTCTGTTGGGAAGGAGCCCGAGCAAAGCGCCAGAGCTTCTGTCATTGGATCTTCTACGTCACTGTCTTTTCCAGCCTTAGAAGATGCTGAAGATGCCCATGTTGGAGAACCTGCTACAAAAAAGGAATAAGATGGCAACTTTTTATACAGAGGTGTTTGAATTCCTAGAACATCTGAAAGCATCTCAGAAATGACAGGTTAGCATGCACCTATGAAGGTGACAAATTGTTAAAAGCTCTCAGAACTCTCGGAAGTTCCAAATTCTGCATTAGTGCCCAGAACTAAAAGCATATGTTAGTGTAAAGCTTAAAGCTCAGGTGATCAGCAAGGGTAGGAAAAGAATTTCAGGACGTACTCCGAGATACAAATTTTCCTGAACAAAGATTGAGCAATTCTTCCATGTTCTGCTTTTTGTTGCTGTTTGTATCTGGCACGTCTTCAGTTTGACTGCTAAACTGACCAGAACACAAATCCAATAATTCATCCATGTTGGCATCCATTGCATTCTCATCCATGCTAGCCAGAGTCAGCTGATGTTTTGTTGACTGATATTTATTCCTATGTTGTCCAACATTCAAAAACCTGAAAAAAAAGTCTGATTAGAAAAAAAAAAAAATAGGAGAATTTTTTTTTGACCACTAGCAGAGCTTTTCTCCAGAAAACTTCCCATGATACAATTATTGTACAAGCAACATTATGGGGTTCCATACTCGAATCTCATTTCAGATTCACTTTTGTCTTTTTGAATAACTGCCACTGATAAGTTTCTTTAATTAACACATCTTGAAAATGTTACCAAAGCACAAAAGAACATAAGCTTTTTACTCTGCGACTGCTCTACATAACCTAGAAGAATTCCCCTAAATCTGAAGTAAAAATCTAGATGTCCTATTTCAGTTAAAGGACATAAAATGGCATTCTTTACACCTGTAACTTACCCATCTGCATCAAGCAGCTGGCTCTGAGTGTCATCTTCTAGAGAAAAATGAAACTGTGACTCTCCAGGTCCTGGAAATAAACTCTTGGGCTCAGGAGAGGCATTATACAGGTCCTGGGAATCTTCTATGGGAAGAGAAGGCTCGGACATCTTTCCTGAGCTCTGTACAAGGGAATGCAAAAACATACAAATTATTTGCTTTGCAACCCTAGAAATAAGCAAGAGTTGGATAAAACATTTCAGCTATTGTATAGCCTATGTGTGTATACTTAAAAAAAAAAAATACACAACAGACAGACTTTAGAACATACATGTCAAAATTAAATATATCCATTAGCCCTTGTGTTAGCCGATGGCATTAACAGGACTGAGAATCTTACCTTGGAAGCAGAGCTGAGGAAGCTTGTTTTGAAAAAACCTGGGGAGGGTGACCTGAAACCTCCTGCTGCAGATAAGATGTTCCCTCCACGGGACATCTGTTTGTTGCAGGGCTGATACGACGGAATCATGGAGCCGATCAGCTCAAAGCTGCTGTTATGGCTATTATCTTTTGCCGGTGTTGGCAGAGAAAATGAATCATCATCTTCTGAAAAGAAAGCAAATATATTAATATAATGCTTAAGTTAACAGAAGATTTGCCAGTTTCTAAGCAAACCATAAAGAATTTAATTCCATTTCTGTAATATACGCAGACAGGACGAGAAACAGCTATTTGCTGGTTTTTCATGACATCTTCTAATATTCTTGTTTTCCCCCGGTCTCCTTTCTAGACAAAATAGATCAATTCCTTTCAAAGTTACACCCTGCACAGCAGATGACCAGAATGTCTATATCTTATCAAAATACAATGCCAAAACTGAAGGCAACGTTTCTGCTGAGACCTCAAGCACCAGATCAAGAGTTTTCCAGTTTGGAATTCATATTAATGCAGCTCCAGATATGCACCTTTTTGCAGAAATGTCATATTCTTTACACAGTTTCATATGTGGCCCAGTAAAACATTCAGATATTGTTCTACAGACCCAATTAGAAACTTTTGTATGTGCCCCTTTAAAAAATAGCTATGATAGTAGATTTACTTTACCCAACTTGGTAGGTCCTTTGTCTGCAGCTTCTTCTATTTCAAGTTTCTCATCAGGAAGAGAATATCTGCAATTTATTAAATAAAATATATTTCCTAATATATACAAGTTCTATTGCGTAATCAAACCTAACACAAAGAAAAAAAAAACCACAGTAACACACAATACTGTACACAGTAAAGAGCAAATTCAGATAATAGTAACAGTCATTTGGTTTTCTAGCAAAATACATATGAAGGCACATGTAACTACTGAAACCGGAAAGAAAAAATGCATATAAGGTGCTTAGAGTAAAGCATGTTAGCACTTGCACTAAAACCAAACTATCTACCATGTATATTAGATTTAAAACTGCTTAACCAGCATTTCTAAGGGTGGATTCATTTACCCCATTTTGGAGGAGCTGTCTTTAAATAGCATCAGTGTAGACTCTGTTGAAGGTAGCTTGGGAACAGAATCACAGTGCACAGTTTTATCCACCTTTTCTCCATCAACTGATTCTTTATCCGTTTCTTTATCACCATCCTCAGTGCGTTTCTCTTCTAAATCTTCATTGTCTTCCTCTGCCTCCCCAAGGAGAAATTCTGCAGTCTTAAATAAATATAAAATAAAACAGTTACATAGTGTTCAATGCTTCGATCTGCCTACTTTCATGCATACTTTTACAAGGAAAGTTTCAATACATGGAAACTAAATCCTGACATTCCAATTGTAACAATTCTTCACTCTTCAGAGCTATTTGGCAATTCCCCCATTATCAATAGTGTATAAATCCTTATTTAAAAGATCAGTCGAACTGAGGAGTTGACTGAGTTATGCAAAAATGCTGCCTATAGACCTCGTGATTGCCTTCTTCCTCTTCCTCAGACTCATCTGTCATCTCTTCCTCCTCCTCCTCTTCTTCCTCCAACATGTCTTCATTATCTAGTTTAAACAGTGCTTGCCGCTTTTGGCGCTCCTCAATCCTGCGGAGTTTCATGGCCTCTTGGAGTTTAGCCTTCAACACTTGTAGCTTTTCACCTAAAAAGAAGCATTAGATGCATCACAAAGAACCCTCAAGCTTTACTGCTTTCAAACACCCTATTTAACAAAACTATGAGCACAAAAAAAAAAAAAAAAGGAGAATTAAAAAATAGCTCATTTTTAAATGTCTTTTTATGACTTGGCAGCTTGAAGAACTAGAGCATCTAGCTTCAGTGAGTTGCCTTTAGAGAGGCAACACAATCAAGATTCCTCATTATCCATAAATGCCACGGGCACAATCCTCTGAATGAGCAGGGTCTGTCTTTCCTCTGTGTCTTTGGGGAACAACAGTTTCTAATTGCTATGGGCAGATGTGCTATAGTACATGAGATAATTAAGAGCAGCTAAAAATAATACTTGCCTATAGTACCAGCCAAATAATGTTTCTTTTAATGTGACAGTCACATTCCACATGTGTTGTGTTTGCAAAAATATACATATAAACTTCTATAAACAAGGATTATGAGAGTTATTTTCAGAGGGCTGATGGAAGAGAATCTATTTGTAAATGTTTTTAAACAATATAGCGACAGAAGAATTCAGACAACCAGTTGCAAAAATCTGCCTTAGGGAAACCTGCTCTTCAATGGTCAACGTGATTTAAGGGGTCTCTCTAGAAACAAATACATCATACTAATTCTAGAGAAAAATATTATTTCATCTGTATTTCATGGGGCAAACTGGGGAGAGGGGAAGATGAGGGGAGAAGAAAAAGATTGTTTTAAAGTTCAACCATCATCACTTCTCTTTCCAAACCTACCTGGCTTGGTGTGGACTGTTTCATCTCGGCTTTCTGTAACTAATACTGCTGGCACCACATCTGCTTTTAGTTCCTCTTTGCCTTCAGCTGTAGTCTCCTTACGAATAATGTTCATGTTTATGGTCCGTTCAACTTTAGGTTTCGATGTTTGAAGAGTGTGTTTCAAGAAACGAGCTTTCAAGGCTTCCAATTCTTTAAATACACATTAATTACGTTTCAAAACTAATTTCATAGCATTTACAAGAGCAAAAAGAAAGCAATACCATGTGCATTAAAGTTGTAACAAGAGTAGGATGAGAATATATCACAGGAAGTTAATTAAAAATCTTAAATATTGTAGTGTTGTAAAATAAACACTATTTGCTTAATAATACAAGTTACTGTATCATATTTTACTGTAACTTGAATTTAATTGATATTAGGTAATATGAAATTACCATTGAGCTAGGCAGACCTGAGTTGGTTACGACAACAACAATACCTTTATTGGAATCAGATTCATCAAGGTTTATAAAGGATTCATTGTCAGTGCAGATCCTTGGCTTGATAGACAGGTCTATCCCCAGCTCTCGAAGTTTATCCAGCTTGGACTTCCTTACTTTTTCAGGCTCTGCCACCAATCCAGGTGCCACTTGCTGACTGTGTTCTCCACAGGCTGCTTCTGGTGCTACTTCAACCCTTTGCTCAAGGGCATTTTCTCCAGCTGCCAGGGGAACTTGGTTCTCCTTTTGTTCACTACAGGCGGTGCTTAGGACACTTTGCTCTTCTGAATTATTAGCAGCTGTTGCAGTCCTAACTGTGTGAGTATCATCATCTCGACCAAGTTTTTCAGCACAATCTTCTGTCAAATTCTCTCCTTTATGAGCAGGAAGTTTGTCCGTGGGGGTGTTAACATCCCTGCCCAGGCTTGTTTTTGCTTCACTAGCTGCTGGTTGATCACCTCCTGCCTGTCCATCTTTGCAGTCCAAGCTCAAGTTCTTTGTACCTGCAGTTTCTTCATCTAGGGAGGCCTGATACTTTGTGGACCTAACAAAAGCAGAAGGAAAAATATCATTCCCATTAGCATGGCTACTGTCAAAGGGGAGAAGAGGTCTAAACAAAACAAACAAAAAAACAAACAAAAACAGATGGAAAGAAACCACTTCCTAATTTTTTAAATCAAAAAATTCAAAAGGGAGAAAGGCTCAAGTCCTTACTTCAGCAATAACATGGCATTTCCTTGACACGTTGGTCGAGGTCTACACTTGAAGAGTTCCTGAACGCTTTTGGCTTCAGGCATGTGATATGGGAGAGACAGAGATGACTCTACCAGAGAAAGAAGGTGAAAGAAAACAAAAAAGTAGTCAAAGGCATTATATTTATTATACATTTGCTAACTGTAAAGTTCAAAGGAGGTTGAGAAGCATTTTGTGGCAAAGGCAAAAATAGCAAACTGTAATTTGGAATAGAGCAAACACTGGTGTGGGGCAGAGTTCCAACAGCTACAGTCTTGCTGAACAAGTTTGCAACATGCCCAGAACTGATTAGGAAAGAACTTTTTGTTATTATTAGAGTGGCAGGACTTTATTACATCTAACTTACTAAATATTAACTAACTTTACATCATTAGTTAAAGGTAAATTTATAGACAAAAATGAGATACTATGTTTGCAGTAGGCTTTCTTCCTTAATTACAAGGTTGCCTTTAAACAGGTCCTGATTAAAAAATGGTCTTGTAGCCTTTAACCCCGAGTAATTCATGGTTGATGATAGCAAGTTCTCGCTTCCCAGACACTTTCTTTCAATTTCTCCCTTAAGTATCTTATAGTATCCTTCTATTTACAAAGATTTTAATTTTTACCTCGAATGAGTCGTTGGGTCTCACTATGTAGCTGTTTAATAGCTTCTTTACTTAATCTTGCTGCTTTCCGTTCCTTGAGACAAGAAAAGAAAAGCCTCTGAAGTCACAGCACACAATAAATAGTCAAGGAGAGTCAAAATGTGTTGTCTGGTTGCTTGTTTATTACAAGTGAATGTTTTACCTTCTTTTTCGGTTGTGTTAATCTGAGTTCTTCATTCTCGTCATCAAATACACGTTTGCAACCTTCACCCTCAGAAAACAGCTCTTTGTTCTATCAGGCATAAGAAGAGATTTATTTATTTCAACAGATATGCAGACACTACCCCGGGCAAACAAGTCAACAGCCAAAAATCATCGCACTGTATCATCGCTGCTCATCATAAACAATAAAACAGAAATGCTGCATATTTTTTCCTGGTAGATTTCCACAACCTCTACTGTTGTGTTATCTTTCCAGGAAAAGATCTGTCTTTTCCCGAGAACAAAAAGCAGACAACTACTTTCTCCTCTTGGTTACAGCAGAAATGCAGCAAACAAACAAAACCAAACAAACAATTGGTACCTACTTCTCATCAATAACCTGATATTATTATCCAATGTTACCTTTTTTCTTTTAATTTTGTCTTTCACTGCTGCTCGTATTGCTTCTAGTGACTCCTCATCTTCTGCAAGGGAATCATTTTCCCCTTCCTCTTCTAACCCATTATCAAAAAGTTCTTTGTCATCCAGAAGACATCCACTGTCATTGAAAGGATACCTCTCACCACCATCTACCTGTTTGTCATAAGAAAAAAAGAATTTGCACCATTCAGTCCAAGTTCCTCTTCAGTCTTTAAAATTAATTAAGACTACAGGTAAAGACTACTGATGTGCTTCCAGCTTGTGATGCAGCCTTATAGCTGCACTGGGATAAAAAGAAATGTTGATGTCAGTTAAGTAACACCGATGAGCTGAAGGAGAAGAAAAATCTAAACCTAAACACTGTGATCTAAACACATCATTTATAAGATCACAGAATTACCAGACTAACACAGACCCCTATGAATGTCCTCTTTAACCTTCCCTTTTTCATGAAGATATCCATTATCACCATCCCTGTCTGGCTTCACAAGTGTTAGGATCTATATATTAGGATCTCTATATACATCTATATAGGATTCTCTAGATACAAAACTAGTATCTTTATACAGCAGAACTATAGATCTCTGTGGACACCAGTAATGCTACAGTGATGAAGAAAAAAAAGTGATGCTGAAGCACTGAAACCAAATGCATTAACCAAATGCAGAAATAGAATGTAACTTAATTAGGGAAACATTTGGGATTTTCTATCAAAAATATATACCTCTGCTCTAGGCTTCTTTCCTTTTTTCAACTGTTTAATGGATTCAGCCCTTTTTTCTTTCTCCTTTCTCCTCCTTGATTTTCCTACAGATTTTTTTGCTTTCTCTTCTCTGAGATCATGGGGTTTTTTTCTGTGTTTTTTCGCCGATTTTAGGGGTTTCTCCCCTCCTGGCTCAATCTCAGATAATCCAGACTTCACACTTTGTTCAAAGTTTTCAATACGCAGGTGGTCGCCAGAGTCACTGTCATCACTATCCATCAGCCTCTGGCGAACTCGATGAGTCTTTTTATTCCCCAGGGCAGCAGTGTTCTCTTTTTCTTCTCCATTTTCCAAGACTCCATCCAGAGGGTCATTTTTTAAAGAGCTGCTCTCCTCTTCACCTTCACTTTCACTGTCTTGAAGCAACCTTTTGCTTTTTGCCTTTTTACTTACAAAAATCTCTTCCTCTGAATCTGACAATACATATATAAAGAGATGCATGTTATAGGCAGGTAAACACAATTTATAAGCAATCACTTATAAGCAATTTATAAGCAATCACAAACCTGCGTATAAATCTGTTAAATTTCATAAGATTTCAACAACTATAGCAAAATAACTCAAATTTGAGTTTTCAAAATCCACTTTCTGTCATGCAATATATATTTGATTCAAATTGATGTCATGGGTTTTCAGACAAATAAAAGCTAAAATCCATTCACAAATAATTATTATTATCACAAATAATAATTATTATAAAAAAAAGCCAACAATAAGTAAATTGAGCAGATCATGAAAGAAAATAAGCATTTAAGATATTCACATGCTATTTATCTTTTTGAACCCTAAAGTTTCATGTCTGCAGACCGCTCTCTGCCTAAATTCTGAGCGACCAAATGGGTGATCTGGATTCATACAGAATAACCGAACTGTGTGATTTTCAGAAGACCAAAGATTACATAACTGCAACTTTACAAAAAGTTATTTGCAAAATGAAGACCACCCTCGTGAAGACTGTCTCATAAATGTCACAGACCTCGGTCCTCGAGGGCCGCGGTCCCCTTGCCGGGGTGACCAGGAGAGCCCGTTTCGCAGCTGCCCTGGCCGCTGTCAGAATCGCTGTCGCGGCAGCTCTGCGGGTTTGATTTCAAATCTTCCAAGTGAGACTGCAAAGCAAAGAAACACTGTCCTTATCGTTGTGCTGCTCACACAGGAATAACTCCTGGATCTCAACTCCATTCCAAGACCTCGGCTAGCCCTTCACCCAGGAACACACACACGCACGACCACTCCGTAGACTATTTACTTGGAGACGTATTTTGCAACATCAACCTTTATTGCGCGAGGAATGGGAACCTGCACAGGAAAAGCCAGGCTCTGCAAGACCACCCTTGGAGAAGGCAATGAAAAGACTTAGGAGGAACGTGGGCGGCTTCCCCACGCACGGCAGCCCGGAGCACAGCGCAGGGGGCGAGCGCAGCCCGTGAGCTGCCTCTGGAAACAGGCCCGGGGGTGAAAGCGGACATGTCGGGGGCCGCAGCCCCGCACACACGGGCAAGGGCCGCCTCGCTCAGGGCTGGTCCCGCCTCGGGCCGCTTGGGCCCCCCCTGAGCCCCACAGGCCCCGCAATCGGCCCCACCGGGCCAAGGCCCGAGCGCCCCTCCCAGCATGCCCCGCGCCCGGACCGGGACCGGCCTTCCCCGCGCCGCCCCCCTCCCAGCATGCCCTGCGCGCGCGGCGGGCGCTGCCGCGGGGCGGGCTGGGAAGCGTAGTCTGCTCGGGGCGCCGAGGAGGCCAAAGCGCGCGGCCGCTGGCGCCCTCCGGTAACCGAGAAGACGCTGCCGTCCTTCTTGCTGCCCAGCGCCGCCCGCCTCCTCACCGCACGCGGAGCGGCCCCGAGCCCGTGGGAAAGAGGCGGGCCGCCCATAGGCGGGCGTGCAGAGCAGCGGGACTCACCTCAGACGAAGCCGTCGCTGCTGCCGCCATGGTTCGGCCCGCACAACTCCGGTCCCGGCGCCCACACCGGGCGCCTCACAAGCCCTCCCGCCACCCAGCCGGGTAGGAAGCCGCTTCGGGACTTCGCGCGCTGCCTAAGGCCCGCCCCACTTTTGGCGCCAGCCAATCGCCGCTTAGAAGTGCCCTGGCAGCCCCGCCCCCTCTGCCGTTTATTGGGTGATGGCCCGGCTAGTCCCGCCCTCCCCTCGCCTCGCCCAATCGTGGCGCTCCTTCCCGTGCTTTGCACGCGCTACGAGGCCGCCGCTGGGCGGCGCCCTGCCCGCCTGTCAGAGAAAGAAACGCGAGAAACGGGGAAAGGAAAGTGGCGGCCGTGACGTGCCCGGGATCGGCCCGCGAGCACCCGACAGGGGCACCCCTCCGCCACGGCGCTCACTACACACGTGACGCGTCTCGGATAGTGCTCCCCGTATCACAGAACCACAGAGAGGCTGAGGTTGGAAGGGGCCTCTAGAGACCATCCAGTCCAACCCCTGCTCCAGCAGGAACACCCAGAGCTCGGGGCACAGGGTGGCATGCAGGCGGGTTTGGAGACCTCCAGAGGAGACTCCGCAGCCTCCCTGGGCAGCCTGTGCCAGGGCTCGGGCACCCTCACAGTGCAGAAGCTCCTCCTCACCTGGAGATGGAACTACCTGGGTTTCAACTTACACCCATTACCCCTTGTCCTGTCACCAGCCACCACTGAGAAGAGCTTGGCCCCTTCCTGCCTACATTCTCCCTTCATGAACTTATACATGTTAATCAGATCCCCTCTCAGTCTCTCCTCATATGAGAGATGTCCCAGTCCCTTAGTCATCTTTGTAGCTCTTCGCTGGACCTTCTCTAGGAGCTCCATGTCTCTCTTACCCTGGGGAGCCCAGAACTGCACCCAATGCTCTAGATGCGGCTTCACCAGAGCTGAGCAGAGGGGCAGAATCACCTCCCTTGACCTGCTGGCGACATCCTCCTGACGCAGCCAGGATCCCATTGGCCTCCTTGGCCACGAGGGCCCTGCTGCCTCATGGTTAACTTGGTGTCAACCAGGACTCCCGGTTCCCTCTCCATGGAGCTGCTCTCCAGCAGGTCAACCCCTAATCTGTACTGGTGTCTGGGGTTATTCCTTCCCCCAGGTGCAGGACACCGCACTTATTGAACCTTATTGAACCTCATGAGGTTCCTCTCTGCCCAACTCTCCAGCCCGCCCAGGTCCCTCTGGAAATGTATGCCAAGTAGTTGTGTGGAAACGTTGCTGGGCATCGTGGGGTTCTTGTTCTGAGACTTGTAGTGCTGTTCTTTTCCCTTAAATGTTCAGCTAGCATCAGGCAATACTGAGAATCTTTGAGTTCATTTCATTTTAGAGTTTTTGTTGTTTTTGCTTGTAGAGAAGGTCTTGAAAACATAAACCCTGCAGGCTTTAAAAAATGCAAATAAAATGGGCTCAGCATTTATTATTTATAGAGTTTTTTGACTTCTGACCTTGGGAGTCAGCTGGGAATTCTTGGCTCGACAGAACTCAGCACCATCAAGACAAAAGCAGGATGCGAGGAAGCCATTCACTAAACCAGCAAAGCTTTTTAAATGGCAAACTCTCAGTATCTCCTAAACTTAAGGTCTGGATGGCTCCCCACAATATGCTAAGGAAAGAGAGAGAAACAGGGTTAAACTGTAGGTAACAACCATGGGGTTAGGCTGCATGGGGCTGCTACTTTCAGGACCTCTCCTTAATTAAAACAATAAAATAAAGCCTGCCAAATTCATTACCTTGGAGCCCACTCCTTTGTCAGTGTTTGCCAAAACACAGGATCCTCTCCTACAAAGGAGATTGACCTAAAAATGCACAAAATAAATGTGTACAACCTTAGTAATAACACACACCAGCATTTTAGTACCCAAACCAGCTGGTTTAATAACCAAACCTGCCCATTCCACCACCGTGACTTTCCAGACAGCTGGAGTGATATCCCATAATTATTATTGATTTCTGTGTCAAGTGTTCGCTGCTGGGCAGGCATCCATCATTAGCCAGCAACCCACTGCGCTTCCCAGTGCATTTTTCCCTCACAAAATTTATTAGCGGAGGCGCTGGCCCTCCTTACAGCATTGAGAAGTAAACAACATGCAAACCCACAGCTATCTGTGGTGACTTTCATCTCGGTTGTTATTTTTCAGGTGTTTTAAACACAGCTAATGCTGCCGAGCTGGTGTAGGAAGTTATAGTGGGTGTGATTGAGTCAGGCCTGTTCCCTGTTTCATGGCACGGCAGAGGAAGCAGCAGCGACACTTTGCAGTGGAAAAAAACAGCGTTTGTGGGAGGTGGTGTCACGGTTTCCGAGTTTTATGTGGTTGGGGAGATAACTAAGCCGGTGAAATTCCGGAGGGGAGGAGAGGAAGAAAGGGCAGCTCTCCAATAAAAGGTAAACGCCGCTGCCCCCTGCGCAGTGGAGTTTGACTGTCAGAAACCGCGAGCTTAGGCGGGGAAGAAGAGGGCCGAGCTGCCCCTCCGAGGGTGCAGCGCCGGGGAGCAAAATCCTCCTTTTTCGTGGGGAAAAGTGCCCCCAATGTCGGCTGTTTCGCCGCGGTTCTGTCAGGGCGGGCCCGCGCGCGGGA